TCTGACTAGCGATTACAAAATTTCTTGATCGACCTAAATGATATACTTACAAACTGCTTACAATAATCTGAAAATTTTATTACAGTTTAAAGAGTGTAACAACATGGATTCTTATTTCGAATTATCAACTTGTTGTGTTATAATCGATCATCTGGACGACCAAACAGTTTATCAAAGATATCCTCGGGTCTCTACATGATAATAGACCTACCCCTTTATTCCTGATGATCAGACGTGGAACAGTCCAAACTTCGACGAATTGTTTCTTAAACTCCATGCGATGGACTTTGGCACATGTAAATGTACAACCGATGGATGGTTAATTAAAAGTATAATTAGCAATATACATTGAACTAATTATGAATATTACACTTTAAACGAACTAAAACAGTCATATCTATATTTACTGTCTTGTACATAAAATGAAGTAAACGGGCCTTAAGTAGGCCTCATTTACTATAATCCAATCGACCTTTGTAAATATGATACAAGTAAATAGTAGTAAAACAAATGACAATTGTTAGAATTTATTCGTGTTTAATCATGAGGCGCAACGATGATGATTCAAATATTTTAATGAACAGAATAACTTATGAGTTGTGATATTGACAGGGTGCTAATACAGCATGTCAAGTTGATGATGATGATCGTGATGATAATGATGATGATGATTGTTGTGATGGTGATGATGGTAGTGATGGTGATGATGGTAATGATGATGATGATGATGTTTATGATGCTGATGGTGATGATGATGGCGATGGTGATGATGGTAATGATGATGATGATGGTAATGATGATGATGATGATGTTTATGATGCTGATGGTGATGATGATAGTGATGATGATGATGATGATGATGATGATAATGATGACGATGATGATGATGATAATGATGATGATGATGATAATGACGATGATGATGATGACGATGATGGTGATGATGATGATGATAATGATGATGATGATGATAATGATAATGATGGTGATGATGATAATGATGATGATGATGATGATGATAATGATGATGATGGTGATGATGATGGTGATGATGATATTAATATGAAAATAACAAGACGGGTTTACAAATATGGATATGGCCATATGATACCATTAGATTTATGAGTATGAAACTAATGAAAATACACATTATGCTTATAACAAAATGACACTACAGATTGATTATAACACGATGATAATAAAACACGACTTTAACGAGGATGATATTGAATGTATATCTACCGGCAGACCGCCATTGTCACTGGGGTAACAACAGATTAAACAGACACCCGACCTTCACACGGTTTACAATAAGATGTTTGGCACTAGATATAGCATCATGTCTATAGATTTAGAAGCCATGGAAGAGTTAATTTGATTTCAGTTGCTAAAACGAGTATTTGTTTTGGACTAATCTCCAACAAAAGAAAAAAAACGTTGGCAGTTGTAGATAATTACACTTGCTCAATTTTTTTTATTATCTTGTAGAACTGTCTACCTAAAGTTGCAATAACTAATTACGAATTGCGCATTGCGTAAAAACAGTAAAACTATATTTTTGGGGGAAATTAATTAAGTAAATCCAAATCAAAATGGGTAGTTATCAATAATCGATTACAATACAAGAAAAGAATAATTTGAAGATGGGAATTAGGCTGAGCTTAATTTTTTTTTCTGAATCCTCACATTGTTTCGTTTAAAAATATAACAATGATGACGTTTTTTTCCCCTAAGAAACAAACTTCCGGTTCCAGAAGGGTCTGTTGGATGTTATTATCTTAAAAGCGATTCTAGTTTTCTCTTTTGTTCTCCTCTACCATCGGAATAGCAAGGCTTACCGAGATCTTCGGAAATCTTAATCCTAAATCCCAATTTGACCGTCTAATCTCGGAGTCTTCAACCACTTACCCCCCTCCCCTTCTTTCACCCTATTTATCCCCCCCCCCCCCCCCCCCCACCACCGCCCCACACACTTTATCATAGCTCATAACAATGTCAAATAAAGCTGTTTGATTCAAAGATTCCCCGTAGACTGAAACCAGACCGTTTCTTCTTTGACTAAGCGTTTTCCTGGGGTTGGTCCAAATACCGACAGATCGCATTTCGGACTAAAAAAAAACAACAAAAAGTGCCGGATATGGAGTTTCAAACACGTGTCTGGCACAAGTACTTTACAAAAAGATTTTAGTAATGTCTCCGGTGTCTGCTAATCTGTTAAATCTCAGATGACGTAATGTCAGTCAGCAACATCGAGAAGCTTTTAAGTTAACCCTCTGATGCCTGTATGTCGTGTGCCCAACCTATCAGTGTGGTACTAAGGCTAGCATTATCTGGCAGCAGAGGTTAGTGTGGATAGTAAACGCTGATCAAAACATCAGTAGTTTTACAGTATTAGAATTTACAATAGATTTGAAACTAAAATTATGAAATAATCTGCCTTTTATCTTTTTAAAACAATTTTGTACAAAAATTCAATAAAAAAAATAACGTATTTGGCAACAAGAAAATAATCAATGAAAGTATTTATTTAGTTGCCAAACAAAAATGTTAAAGTACAGGATCGAACTTTAATTAACGTTTGGAAAAAATTCGGATAAAAGTTGTGAATGTTGAGACTGACTTTACTACAGACGGTCCGCATTGTGTTACAGAAGAAACCACAGCGTCATGTTATGGTGAGGATAATAATTGAATAAAGAAGTGGTAGACAATTTTTATAATGTAATTGGTAGCACATTGGTACCACGATAATAGATGTCGTTTCTGGCTAAATTGTGTGACATCTGTTAGTGTTGGCTACCACAGAGATTGTCGCTAGTTGTGGCTATCACACACAGTGACAGCTGTGAGTTGTGGCTACCACACACAGTGACAGCTGTGAGTTGTGGCTACCACAGAGATTGTCGCTAGTTTTGGCTACCACACACAGTAACAGCTGTTAGTTGTGGCTACCACAGTGACAGCTGTGAGTTGTGGCTACCACGCACAGTGACAGCTGTGAGTTGTGGCTACCACAGTAACAGCTGTGAGTTGTGGCTACCACAGAGATTGTCGCTAGTTGTGGCTACCACACACAGTGACAGCTGTGAGTTGTGGCTACCACAGTGACAGCTGTGAGTTGTGGCTACCACTGTAGCAACTGTGATGTGTAGCTACCACAGTAACAGCTGTGATTTATGGCTACCACACACAGTGACAGCTGTAAGTTGTGGCTACCACACAGAGTAACAGCTGTGAGTTGTGGCTACCACAGTGACAGCTGTGAGTTGTGGCTACCACTGTAGCAACTGTGATGTGTAGCTACCACAGTAACAGCTGTGATTTGTGGCTACCACACACAGTGACAGCTGTGAGTTGTGGCTACCACACACAGTGACAGCTGTGAGTTGTGGCTACCACTGTAATAGCCTTGATACAACAGCTAGCATTGTGTTAGACACAGATTATCGCAGTTATACCCACACAATCATAACATTATCAGTTATACCCAAACAATAATAAATTTATCACAGGTATAACCACACAATAATAAATTTATCACAGGTATAACCACACAATAATAACATTATCAGTTATACCCACACAACAACTTTATCACAGGTATAACCACACAATAATAACTTTATCACAACTATATATACACAATAATAACATTATAATACTTTAACCTACACAATGATAAGATTATAATAATTACACACACAATGAAAAATTATAAGAGTTATTTATGAAACAATGTTACAGTTACATCCACACCTTGATTATACTTGATTTTACCACATTTACACCTAAACAATTATTACGTTAATTTAGCAACCGACAAGAAAAAAACATCAATTTCTGCCAATGAGTTTCTTCTTCTTCTTCTTCTTCTTATTCTTCTTCTTCTTCTTCTTCTCCTCCGTGTCTTAATTTATTATATTTATGTTGGAGGATTTAGACAACAAGCCCAAATTCGTGTATGAACTGGACTGTGGTCTCCAATGAGTTTGAAATGATTTATAAGGTATTTCTAATTTTTAAAACTCAAATAAAAACAATGCTATAAGTACGAGATTTTACCAACTCTAGGTTTATATTTATAGTTTTATTACTCATGAATCACTCGGATAAATAATGTCATAGCTTATCTGAAAAAAGATACAGAAAGTACACAATTTTTGTCCAAACTCTTATAGTTTGCTGTTTATTTTTAACTCAAAATGAAAATAAGTTACACTTTCAGACTATAATTATTTAATAAAAACAATACATCGTGTTCACAATTTACTAAACATATATATATATATATATATATATATATATATCAGGGAAAAAAAGTTCAAATGATAACATGGGTGACAAGAAAGATGCGCAACGGAAATTTGCACAAAAAAGTGCACACGGGCATTTTTGTGTGCTTTAATCGAGCAATTACAGAAATCAACAAAGAGTGATCAAATGTACGTTGTAGTCAAATAAAAACAATTTTTCCACGAATATGACACAATTTAATTTAAGCGTATTAGTATATTTAGTATTTGCGCATTTTTCTGTTCGCGCATTTTCTATTTGCGCAGTTTTCCGATTGCGCGTTTTTCTGGGCACCGATTACATGATACATTATGTATAAAATCTACCTGTATAACAGTGAAACATTAAAACGTGTAAACCTTCTGACTCCGCATGAAAAAGTCAATCTAAAACCAGTCTAATGATGTTACTGTTGTGTATTAGTACACCACGTGATACTTCCTGTCCGTCACTGACCAATGGAAACTCTCGATACAACTGAGGCGCGACTTCACCCATCAAAGAAAAACGCCAGAAAAAATTCACCTTTAATGAAGATCGTAATCAAACGACCTGAGTAGTCACATAACTTAAGGCATTTCTAACCAAACGCCTGGAACCGTCGCAGAGTCTTAGACAGTTCCGGTCAAGCGTCTATGTCCATCAAATAGTTTAAGGCAGTTCCAACCAAATACCTGCGGCAGTCACAGAGCCTACGTTAGTTCCGGTCAAACGTCCCTGACCAGCACGTAGGCGGCAGACAGACAGACGAGAAACACAGCCATGACTTGCGGCAGTCCGGCACTAATTTGGTGAGCACTGTTGCAGCCGTCGGTCGTGCATGAGTAGTGGCAGACGGTGTACAGGTCCCCGTGGCTGGTCTGGCGCGTGCAGTTCGTCTGGGGGTGGTGGGAGCACATCCGGGCCACAAAATGACCTGCGGGGGAGAAAAATGGCAACATTTTTGTTTAAGTTTTGTTCGTGATCTGTTTAAATGACAACAAAACAAGTGGAAGATTTTATTTAATGAATGCTGGTTGGGAAGGGCCTGGTCGAGTAATAAACAAGTAGTCGCGAACCCAACTGTTTAGGCTCAAGGCTGTAGAACGTAGCGGATACCATCGTAAGACTTCCGTGACCACCATAATAAGACGTCCCTGAATTTACCATATGACGTCCCTGATTGTACCTTAAGACGTCCTAAGCTAATGGATACCAGCCTGCAAAAAACTGAACTCTACTTCACCCGTTTAACACATCGTCCGTTTACGTTTCTTCTTTCAGCACCAAAAATGTTGTTCAGCATATCGAAGCAAGGCTATAGTGTTTAGCAAACAGGATGGCTTTTGTGCATTTACCAGAGAAAAAAAAAAGAAACATACGCTTTAATGCTTGTTACTTTTTTTCAACCTATATCAACATCTAGATTGCTAGAATGTTCGGATGTTTCAGTTGTATCATCAAGGTTTGTTGACTGTAGTCGGATCTTTATTAGAGACTTCAACACAGTTTCAACTAACAAAGGACGTCAGATGTCACTGACATGTCAACCATGTGGACGTTAGATGTCACTGACATGTCAACCATGTGGACGTCAGATGTCACTGACATGTCAACCATGTGGACGTCAGATGTCACTGACATGTCAACCATGTGGACGTCAGATGTCACTGTCATGTCAACCATGTGGACGTCAGATGTCACTGTCATGTCAACCATGTGGACGTCATATGTCACTGACATGTCAACCATGTGGACGTGAGATGTCACTGACATGTCAACCATGTGGACGTGAGATGTCACTGACATGTCAACCATGTGGACGTGAGATGTCACTGACATGTCAACCATGTGGACGTGAGATGTCACTGACATGTCAATACAAATGACGTCAGATGTCACTAACAAGCAGGGGCGTAGCGAGGGAGGGGGCGGGGGATGCGGACCGCACCGGGTGACACCATTTAGGGGGGGTGACACCATGGCAAAAAATAGCAAAATATATAGAGAAAAACTTGAGGGGGGGTGCAAATCGAAAGTTTGAGGGGGGGGGGTGCAAATCGAAAACTTGAAGGGGGTGCAAATCGAAAGTTTGAGGGGGGGGGGGGTGCAAATCGAAAACTTGAGGGGGGGGGGGGGTGCAAATCGAAAACTTGAGGGGGGGTGCAAATCGAAAACTTGAAAGTTTGTCCCCGGGAAGTGTCGCTACGCCTCTGGGGGGTGACACCATTAAGTGCCGCACCGGGTGACACCCGACCTCGCTACGCCACTGCTAACAAGTCAATACAAATGACGTCAGGTGTCACTGACATGCCACCAGTGGACATCAAGACAGTGTAACTGACCTGAGCCTGACACCAAGGTCCCGTAGGACTTGACACAGTAGAAAGCTGGGTCGCCCGTCTCTGTGCAGTTCACAGCCGCTATCTTGTTGCCGTTATAGCACGCCTCGTTGTTCATGGTGTTACACTGTACACATTTTAAGCCAGCCACTGGGGATGTACAACATTTACAAATTTTAAGCCAGTCAATGGGAAGGTACATGTACACATTTTAAGCCAGCCAATGGGGAGGTACATGTACACATTTTAAGCCAGCCACTGGGGATGTACAACATTTACACATTTTAAGCCAGTCACTGGGGATGTACAACATTTACACATTTTAAGCCAGCCACTGGGGAGGTACATGTACACATTTTAAGCCAGTCACTGGGGATGTACAACATTTACACATTTTAAGCCAGCCACTGGGGAGGTACATGTACACATTTTAAGCCAGCCACTGGGGAGGTACAACATTTACACATTTTAAGCCAGTTACTGGGGATGTACAACATTTACACATTTTAAGCCAGTCAATGGGAAGGTACATGTACACATTTTAAGCCAGTCACTGGGGATGTACAACATTTACACATTTTAAGCCAGCCACTGGGGAGGTACATGTACACATTTTAAGCCAGCCACTGGGGAGGTACAACATTTACACATTTTAAGCCAGTCACTGGGGATGTACAACATTTACACATTTTAAGCCAGCCACTGGGGAGGTACATGTACACATTTTAAGCCAGCCACTGGGGAGGTACAACATTTACAAATTTTAAGCCAGTCAATGGGAAGGTACATGTACACATTTTAAGCCAGCCAATGGGGAGGTACATGTACACATTTTAAGCCAGCCACTGGGGAGGTACAACATTTACACATTTTAAGCCAGTCACTGGGGATGTACAACATTTACACATTTTAAGCCAGCCACTGGGGAGGTACATGTACACATTTTAAGCCAGCCAATGGGGAGGTACATGTACACATTTTAAGCCAGCCACTGGGGAGGTACATGTACACATATTTCATCGTACTAATTTTACACCGTACACATTTTACATTGTACACATTTTACACAGTACACATTTTACATCGTACACATTCTTCATCATACACATTTAAAACTGTACATAATTACAAGTTTCTATTTAATTCACTTCCTCGTCAGCAGTGGCGTAGCGAGGTCGGGTGTCACCCGGTGCGGCACTTAATGGTGTCACCCCCCCAGAGGCATAGAGACCCTTCCCAGGGACAAACTTTCAAATTTTCGATTTGCACCCCCCCCTCAAACTTTCGATTTGCACCCCCCCCCCCCCTCAAGTTTTCGATTTGCACCCCCCCCCCCTCAAACTTTCGATTTGCACCCCCCCCTCGAGTTTTTCTCTATATATTTTGCTATTTTTTGCCTTGGTGTCACCCCCCTAAATGGTGTCACCCGGTGCGGTCCGCACCCCCCGCCCCCCCCACGCTACGCCCCTGCTCGTCAGTCTGTCTGTCTAGAATAGTCTAGATCGAAACGCCCGAGCGAAATTTCGGACACTTCTGACTGACAGATTTGTTTCAACGTTGACATGAACACAATGCAACATGACATTAAATTTGACTCATTTGGTTGCCTGATAAATTTTTTATGAATTAATGAAAATTTGTCCAAACTAGTAGGCTGTCTTATCAAACTATTCCACACTATTAGACACGCGTCATCAAGTTCAATAGGTGCGCAATGGTTTTTAGTCATGCACCTCTAGTGTAAATAAAACATGTAAAGTACTAAAAACAATTTCATAAGAAACATTTTAATAACAAGCTTTTATGTAATAATGCACTAAAAAAATTAATAAAAAAAGTTTTAATAACAAGCTTTTATGTAATAATGCGCTAAAAAGTAGAAAATAAATTATACACTACTATTTAAAAAACTATAAAGAAAAGCGTCGGTCTTTTCCAAAATATTAGTAAAGGTATCCAATATAGATAGGCTACTAAGGTGAGAAAGAAATACCTTCCAATTTTACAATTAAGAACGAAGAAGAAGAAGAAGATCATTTACATGTGTGCGCTGTGGTGCTTGTTTAGTAGTAAATTGTAGTAAGAACTGATCTATATAACTACTCAATAACATAGCCGTGAATGGGGAGCATGCATTTTTTTAGTGAGGGTGACGATAGGGGAGGGGGGGGGGTGGTAAAGGCCTTGACGTGATTTATGGATGATTATTAAAATATTTTTTTCTAAATATATTTCAAATGAAAATAGATCTTCATTATGCATCGTTTAAATACAATCTCGGAAAAAAAAATTCTGATCCGAATAAAAATTCATCCTTCATTGTTCGAGATCATTGCTCATGTTTCCCATAATCCCACTGGAGGCCTGTCACGTGGTCTCTGCTATAATTATCGCGAGACAGTCACGTGTCTGGAGCTATAATTATCCTCTTTTGTCTGTCAGAAACAGGGTCACTGTGTTGGGTTTTGGTGCCCCGTCTGCCCTTTCATTGGTGCCCCGTCTGCCCTTTCATTCAATGACCAATTTCTATGCGGGTCAAACAGAGCTGGAACTCTGAGACAGAAATATACGCAGGCCGATGGTTTGGAATGACAAAATAACAGTTCTCGTTAGCTTTTTGTCTGTTCGGACAAAAATCTTGCGTCTTGTCGGTTGTTTTTTAAGCTGACGATCTCACTGTTTTTGTCCGTCATGTTGACCTTTTTAATACAACAGTAACATGTTGAGATTTTCCGTTGACCTTTTTAATACAATAGTAACATGTTGAGATTTTCCGTTGACCTTTTTAATACAATAGTAACATGTTGAGATTTTCCTTGAAACAAAAACAAAAAACGATGGGATTTTCCCTTACTTGATAAGAGATAAGTTTTTTGTGTTTATTTTAGCAATATTGACAAGGATTGTTACTTCAGTAACGATGCCCTCTTCCAACCCGTCTACACGTGTACCCATCTTCATGTCTATTTTAGCAAGTGATCTGGATTTTCCTTCAATGTGAGTTACTGGATTACGTCCTTGATTTTATTTGTATTAAATATTGAATTATATTTTGTATTAAAAATTTAGTTTTTAGTGAAGACTGCAACGTTATTTGTAATATATTGTGTATTGAAGGATGTATTGTGTTTCGTGTTTGTAATGTACTTTGTATTGTAATTGTTTTCGTATTTAGTAGCAACCATTTATTCTAATTGACGACCCACTAAAGGAGTCACCTGGGTGATGTCCCATGTTGTCATCACATAGACTATTCCAAGCGTCTCTTACAGTTCCTTGTGTTTCATGACTTGGGTAAATGTTACATGACATCCATCAAATACAAAGTTCACAGATACATCAGATAACGTATGGTGCAAGTGTGGCTCTATGCTCAGATGAACTCTACTTCATCTGTCCAAACGACCATCAAGTCCCTAGGGACACTCAAGTTTTTGCGGTTAAAGATCTTTGAAATTCCAGTGTGGATACTTCCGCTATCACCTAATAAAGATCCGCAAATCACAAGGGACTTTGGTGCTACAGTGTTAAATCGTCGATCATAAAGGGGAAGTAAGAAAGGAAAACTCGTCCGTTATTTGTGAATACAATATTCTAATGTTCTGTACCAGAGATGCTCTGTACACATTGTATACACGTTACGACTTTCTGTATATCTGAATATTCTGTTTGTTTGTTTCGCTGTTTCGGCGTTAGACTTTTTTTAACCACTTCATTTAACTAATTTCCGCTCTCTTTCAATTGTTCTTGTACATTAAAAAAAGGTAATAGGTTCATGTGAAGATCCCTGCGTGGACCAAAAATGCTTTAAACACTTCATCTCTCCCTTCCTATCTTCAGGAACAAATGCAGCATTTCTATGAAAAGTGGAGCAGTTTCGGTTCAAACATCCTGCATGCATGCATCAATTTACAAGACTCACTACATGGGTGAGACTTGAATTATATATTTACATGTATGACCATTTTTTTTTCATCATTCACTGGTCAGTGGTCAGTGTACATGTATGACCAACTTTTGTTTATCATTCACTGGTCAGTGGTCAGTGTACATGTATGACCAACTTTTTTCATCATTCACTGGTCAAGTGTACATGTATGACCAACTTGTTCATCATTCACTGGTCAAGTGTACATGTATGACCAACTTGTTCATCATTCACTGGTCAAGTGTACATGCATGACCAACTTTTTTTCATCATTCATTGGTCAAGTGTATGTGTATAAACGTTCGACTATACTACACGTAGCGGTTCACAACGGCCGCCATTATTTTTAAACCATTAAGCCGAGCAGAAACTTAATCTAGTGGGATAATTGAAATCGTAGGAGTTATTTCCCTTTTTTATACTTGTAGGAGTTGGTTCCCTTTTATTTTAATACTTGTAGGAGTTGGTTCCCCTCCTTTCTACAAAGACATCACGAACTCGTCTTTATATGGCTAGGCAAATAAGACAAGAAAGAAGCTTTAACGGTTCAGTCTTTAAAAGGTCATTTCGTCCAAATGATGGTAAAAAGGTCATTTCGTCCAAATGGGGGTAAAAAGGTCATTGCGTCTACATGTTGGGAACAATGTAATTTCGTCCTAATATCACTTTATTAACTGCAGGAATTTATAAAAAGTTGGGCTTTAAAAATATTTATTGAATATTTTGTTTTTAATCTTGGCTATGCATATTTTTGATGAAGAGAATAAATTTAAAAAAATGGTTTCCATTTTTATTGAGCCTGTCTTTGAAAAACGATGAGGTAATTATTTCTCTAATGAGCTTCGTGCCCATCTTTACCTGTTGAATATTATCTGTTTTTACTCCGTCATGGAAGTTCCTAGCTCGCAACAATCATTTATTTTTGTCCCCTGCTTAAAGCATCGATTAATATTAAAATGGTTTAATTGGTTTTGATGATGTTTAATCAACGCGAGAGCTTGTATTTGGAAATAATTGAATAAAATTTGGGTGTTGTTGTATTATTAAACGTGTGTGTTGTCGGTAACTTCCATTAACTTGTAATGGTAACAAAATTAATTTCAATTTGCTTGTGATGTAAAAAATATTCAATTAACTTGTGATATTAGCACCAATCAATGAATATGTGTGAGCAATTAATTAACGTGTAATTTTAGCAATCAACAATTTAGGAGTATTGCAT